TCCCAGCACTTGAGAGGCAGAGGCAGACAGATCTCTGTGAGTTCAAGGCCAGCCTGGGCTACAGAGTGAGTTCCAGGACAGGCACAAAGCTACACAGAGAAACCCTATCTTGAAAAACAAAAACAAACAAACAAACAAAAAACAAAGAAGGAATCTTGCAGGAAGGGTGATGGGCAGGTAGTGGGCAGCCCAGGAAGAAATGACTACAGGCTAAATAAACATGATCGCTCTCAGGCTAAAAGCTATGGGTGGAGTTGGAAGGCCCAGCTATCTCTGAACCTCGCCCTCTTCTTCCTGTCCTGAATGAGCATATTTTAATACTTGCTGGGTCATATGGTGATTTATTTTTAGCCTTTTGAGCATTCTCCACACTGATTTCCAGAGTGGCCGCACCAGTTTTCAGTCCCAGCAACACTGGGTGAGGACTCCCTTCTCCACCCGTCCTCGCCAGCATCTGTTGCCAGATGTTTTCTTGATCTTCACCATTCTGACTAGGGCTAAAATGAAATCTCAAAGTTGCTTCAAAGTAAATTTCTCTAATTGCTGCTGCTGCTGGATACACTTTGAGGTCTTTCTTAGCCATTTGTATTTCTTTTGAGGACTGTTTACATCCTTAGCCTGGTTTTTAATTGGATGGTTTGTTTTCTTGACTTTTTGTTTGGTTTGGTTTTCCGAGACAGGGTTTCTCTCCATAGCCCTGGCTGCCCTGGAACTCGCTCTAGAGACCAGGCTGGCCTTGAACTCAGAGATCCACCTGCCTCTGCCCCGAGTGCTGGGATTAAAGGTGTGCATCACCCCCACCCGGCTTTTGAGTTCTCTGGATACCACTCCTTGGCAGATGAATACAGCGGACAGATTCTCTCCCGCTCTGCAGGTTTCCTCCTCCCTCACTGTCCCTCACCTGTGCAGAGGAGTTAGCCAGGGTTACAGCACTGGCATATGACATCACGGCGGCCCACATCTTTCTTTGTACACAGACAGGGCTGTCATAGGTTTAACCCATGGTGTCAGCTAATGTCACTCATTTTTTAGAAAACATCTACCAAATACCAGAGGATAAATAACCACGATTCTTCCTCCTGTTTCCTTCCACCCCCTTGAGACAGGGTCTCATGTAGTCCAGGATGGCAATCCTCCTGTCTCAGATCCCCAAACTCTTGGATTACCCCCTCCTTCCTCTGTGGTCCCCCCTTCCCTTTCACTCCATCACTGAGCTATACAACGAAACGAAACAAAAACAAAAAGACAGAGTGGGCCCCAGGGTAAGACGGGAGAGTTAAGTTCTTCCTTTTTTGTGATAGGATCTGTTATCCCAGGTGAGCTGGGACCTGAGATCCTCCGGCTTCACCCTCAAGCATTAGTTATGGGCACACTTCACTGTGCCCAGCTCCCAAAGGCCAATCGTTTTAAGCTGGCCGAGTGTGGCAGTCCATGTTTTTAACCCCAGTCCTCAGGCCATCCTTGGCAATGAAGGCCGAAGGCTCTTCCCCCAGACAGCGGCTGGGTTTGCTCCCTGCCTTATCGAGAGCTCGCCAGGAGCCGACAGTCTCTTGTCATGCCCCATCCCTACCCTTCCCTTGGAGTGCCCATCACTCCTGAGAGCTCGCCAGGAGCAGATAGTCCCTTGTCACGCCCCATCCCTTCCCTTCCCTTGGAGCGCCCATCACTCCTGACACAGAATCTTTACATCTGAGTATGGTCTGACTCTGCCATCCTGTGTCCAGGTAGCTGACTCAGAGGCAGAGGGAAGGAAGGGGAGGGGTGGGTGGCAGAGGAGAGACAACACTAGGACGTGTCACCGAGCTGCACACCCCCGGATCTGAAGAACTGAGTGGTGGCTTGGGAAGAGAGAGAAATGCCGTTGGTGGCCCTCAGTGTTGAATTCCTTTGCACCTCTGGGTTTCATGTGTCAAAAGCAGCCTGCGGCAGCCTGAGATAAACCTTGTAAACAATCACCCTACAGAAGTGAGTGCTGCTCTAGGGGCTGGAGCAAGAGGCCAGGCTAACACAAACACATGGTCCTTGTGTGCGGCAGCCCTTACTACTGCAGGCCGGCGGAAACAGTGACCACAATTTGCTGCTGTATGCACTTAATAAGGGAAAAGGCAAGTGATGAGTTAAAAAGGGCAACATGAGTGGGGCATGGCAGCTCATGCATGTAATGTCAGCATGGAGGAGGCAAGAGGTCAAAGGATCACCAGGAATATGAGGCCAACCTGAGCTACAGCCAGTTCCAGGACAGCCAAGTGATATAGCAAGACCGGCCTCCAAATAGAAATAAAAAGCAAGCAAGCAAGCAAGCTTGGGGTGGGAGCCTGGCCAGTATGCAAGGAAGACAGCAGACTTAAGCTACAGGTTAGAGGTGCAGCCAGCTGCATGGCTGGGTTGTTTGTTTCAAGACAAGGACTTCGAGCATCCCAGGATGGCCTAGAACTCACCATGTGGCCAAGGATGGCTGAGAACTCTGACTGAGCCTCCTCCCACTCAGAGGATTACAGGCGCGGGTCACCAAGCTCAGTGGGGCGGTTTACCAAGGCTTCCTGCCTGCTAGGCAAGGACTCTAGCAACCAAGCCACACCCCCAGGTCTGCTCAGCTGGTGTACAAGCTGGAAATGTATCTAAGCAAAAATATAAGCAACAGTAACAGTTAAAACATACCAATCTCGCAGGTGGTGGCACATGCCTTTAATCCCAGCACTCGGGAGGCAGAGGCATCGGATCTCTGTGAGTTCGAGGCCAGCCTGGTCTCCAAAGTGAGTTCCAGGAAAGGTGCAAAGCTACACAGAGAAACCCTGTCTCGAAAAACCAAAAAAAAAAAAAAAAACCATACCAATCTCTATATGGCTGGTGCCCAGATGGGTCTCATGTCATGTACAATCCTCCAGCACATGCACATTCGGCCCCCATCTTAGCAGTGTGGGAGAAATCTGAAGCTCAGAAGTCACGTGACTCGCAGCGACAGGGCAGACAGAATCATTTCCTTTTATTTCCTAAGGGGACTAGGTCTCCTGACCCCCTAGGCTTCAGTCCCACCACACAACTGGCCAGCCAGAACGGTGGGCAGGAGGATGGGGGGAGTTAACCACAGCTAGGCTGAGCTGCCGGGTGGTGCTTCCTCAGCTACTACCAGAAGAAGCTGAAGGAAGGCACCTCCAAGACCCGAGAGACAGAATCGAATATGGGCGGGCTGCGATCAAGGAAGAAGCTTCCTTACAATGCTCAGCAGCAAGCAGACAGCTTGGAGGTGCCAGAACGAAGGGTCCTCAGGATCCTGGGCCGGCTGAAGCAGCAGAACTATGGTAAGGGCCAGTGAGTAGCCTGGGCTGGCAAACACATCCCTGTCCACGTGGCCAGATCCCCCTAGATGAAGCCCAGGGCTTAGCTGTGGCAACCATTACCAAATAGGGCTGGTCCACATCACACAACATCCAGCTCCATGCTTTATCGCTAAGCCAAGGCTGTCCCCAGAACTACTGTGTGAGAGCCCACCAGAGTCAGTTCCAATGCAAGGTCCTTTGTAGATGTGCCCTACAATCGCCCCACTCGACAGAAATGGCAACCAGGGCTATGTCAGTGACTTCCCGCTAGAATGCTGATAAGGGCAGCTTGCACTCAGGTTCACCCCAAATTGCGTGCTTGGGCAAGCTTCTCTTTAAGGTATGGCGAGCCTTTACTCTATGCTCAGCCTTCAGCATCGTAACACATCATCCCGGTCATCTGTGTGCTGGGTACCAATCCCCTCTCCATCCTGGAGGCTCAGACATTAAGGGTTGGCCCAAATTCAACTCTGCTTATCATGTGGCAAACCCAGAGTTTCACTGGGCTGGCCATGCTCCCAATTCTCTTGTTCCTGCCTATCCCAGCTGCCAATCTGCAGAGCCCCTATGCCCAGGTGCCCTGCATTCCACTCTGCCCGAGGCTGGAGAAGAAGACGGTCCGTCGAAAGCAGGGTAGCCATAACCATCCTGTGCTGGATCAGTGTGTCTCTACAAGCTTGGGCCCTGACCTCCATGGCCTCCTCTTTCAGTCAGGACAGCAAGGAAGCAGGTGAGTACTGAGGCCGGGGCCCCTCAGCCCACTTATTATCTAGAAGAGGCCCCTGGGAAACTGCTCCCACCTATCCAGGGAGGACAGATGCACAGACAGGGCAGCGAAGAAAGCAACCTTTGCTGAAGCCTGTGTACCAGAAACAAGTTCACAGGAGCCTAAGCATTAAGCAGTCCTGAGCTTATCATCCTTCTTAGGACAGTGTTGCTCCTCATTTCTCAAGCATGGGAACCCCTTGGCTTTGCTCTAAATGATAAGAAGCTTAGAAACTGGGAAGGGGATGTCCCCTTCCGAGTCCCCAGGACTTGGGATCAGCCGCCCACAAGCCCAACTTCCGGCTCTACTGTTTCTAGAAGCCACCTCTGCCCCGAGTACATGAAATGGTTTGTGAACCTGGCAGGACTCTGGGAAAGGGCCAAATATGCTCTTTCTGTCCACCTCTCCTCCCCAGGGAACACAACTCTGACAGCAGAAAGTGGCTTAGCTCCGTGCCAGCCCGAACCCACTGATCATCTGGAATCCTGGCTCCAGAAGTTCAAGGCTTAAAGACAGCTGGGCCGTGGGGCAGGGCCTGGCTTTGGGAGTTTGCTTTCATGGCCTGGTAAGCCAATAAACACCAAGAACTTCAGCCTCTGTATTTGATGTCAGTGAAGGCCACCAATTTTCACCACCCTGTATGACTTATAGAGCTCCAGCATGCCCCAGGTTTGAGTCTGAGGCAGGACTCACTGAAACTCTGTCTGGGGGAGTTGGGGCTTCCTACTACAGCTGCCCGTCTCCCCACTCAAGACTTGGGAGCCCTACAGTGGCGGGCTTAAGCCAAGTACCCCAGAAAGCCTCAGCCTCTGAAATCAGCTGGCCTCTGAAGAGCAGGAACACCCCCCCCCCCCCCCCCGCCAGGGCTGGACAAGCAACCACAGTATGATAGGAAGCCAGAAATGAGGACAAATGTCTGACAAGTTTAAAACATGTATTTAAAATACAATTTATAAAATGCTTAATCTGCCGACTCAGGAGCCCGAGGTGGGGTTAGGGTGGGGAGCTGCCCGCTACACCAGCAGAGCGAGACTGCAGGGTGCGGCCCCCCCTCCAGTCCCTTCTGTACAGATGCCCAAGGGTCCCCCTGGGGTCATGTGACCAGAAGCAGGACCCCAGAGGTTTTCTTGAGTCTCTGCTCACCAGGGAGACTGGATGCAGCCCTGCCGGCCCATCCCTGAGCAGAGCACCCCCAGATGGGGCAGAGCAGGGTATGGCAGGGCAGGACAGGGCTGGGCGGGACAGGTGGGCTCTGGAAGGGGCTGATGGCAGCAGATAGGGTGTTGCCTCCTGCCTGCAGGTGGGGAGCACCCTGATTGAGGGGACTGAGAGGGCTGGTCACCAGACCTGGACCCCCAGCTCCTTTGGTTATAGGCTGACATCAGAGTAGTGGCTCATGGGAAGCGGTTAGCTGGAAGGGCTGAGGCCTGGCTCCTGGGGTCCAGGAAGAGCTGGGGGAAGGGACAGTACCATGAAGGCAGACAAAGGGGCAGCAGCCTCAGGTCCTGCCCCTCATCCCCCTGGGGATTTCCAAGCCAAAGCCTGCAACTTACTTAGACAGAAAGAAAGAAAGAAAAAGGGGGAAAAAGCACTTATGGAGTTATAGACAACTACAGAAAAAAAGGGAGGGGGGAGAAAACACACATACACACACACACACACAAAAAAAAACAAACCCACAAACACACACAAACTCCAAACCGTTTCCCACGCCCCCCACCTCCCCCAACACCAGTCTGTTTCCTTCTTTCTTTCTTTCCTCTCTCTCATTGCGCCAGCCACCTCTCCATCTAGGAGGCCAAAAGCAAGACTGCTTGCTGGTGGGCAGGCACTCGTACTCTGCGGGCAGGGCCGCCTTTGGCCAGAGTGAGACGGGAGAGCCACCCTGCCAGCTCTCAACATACAGACACCAGCTGCCCTTAGCTCCTACTAGAGGGGGCAGGGCAAGCAGGGTTTCTGCATCCTTCTCCAAAGAAAGGACAGTCTGTCCTCCAACCAGAAACCACTAGCCCCTGTGGGTGGGCCCTAGACTACAAGCTAGCAGCCAACTCCCTTCCTACCCACTCCTGGGGTGGCCAACCCTGTCGCTGAGGCTCTGCTCCAGCTCGCTCACAGAAGCCCCTGGTTTCAGGTAGGTCTAGGGCTGTGTTATGGAAGAGACTCTTCTTAAGGGGAAGATGCTGTGGGCCATTGCTACAGGGCATAAGCCAGGGGGACCAAAGGTGGTGGGATCCTACAAAACTCAGCTCTATCACCTTGGCCACCACAGCTGCCCTAATCCCACACCACACCACCCACTCCCAAACCTGTGTGCTGGCCAGGAGAGGGGAGGCCGTCAGGCTGGCTGAGGGATAAGGCGAAGTGCATGAAAGACTACGAAGCCTGAGAGCACCCAGTGGGACACAGCTGCCCTCTCAAGCCTCTCCCCATCAGGAGCCAAAGCCAATCTCCAGGCTTGGGGACAGAAATGGCCTTCATACCAGCCTCGTTCTGATAAGAAGGGATAGGGCAGCCAAGGCCTCTGAGAAACCTGCCGACCATCTGCCTCTGCAATGCCAAGTTTTTCTTCTTCCAACTCTCCTCCAACTGCTCTATTCCTACGGTACTCATTTCACCCGGGAAATGTACCAGGTATAGTTTCTGAGCCAGGGCCATCAACAAATGTGGCACGCCACGGGTCCTTAAGCGTTCCAGTCTTGCTGGAAGGGACAGGCCTACCTATCTTCTGACCAGAGCAGCAAAGGCCTGGAGTTGTGAGCCAGACTCTGCTGGGCTGTGCTGACGGCAAACACTGGACAAGTGCCACCACTGCCTGCTTCGGAGCCCGGAGTGCGCTCGCTCTCCTCCCCGACGCTCCCTGCCCTGCCTGCCTCTAGGAACAGCAAACCCGGCTGGTAGGGAGCCACCCTGAGGGGTGTGGGAAGGGGAAGTCTGTCACTGTCCCCATCTCCCACAATACTAGAGGTGAGGTTGGCACCCTCCCCCAGGCTCTGAGCTGTCTCTAGGCAACTCAGCTGGGACTCAGCTGGAGGAAGTGGTACAGGCACAGTGCTCATCTACAGGGGCTCCAGAGCCCCGCCTTTTCTGGGCGGCAGTAGGAAGACAGAAGCTAAGCTCACCAAAATCCTATTGGTTAATGTTTCCAGCAGATTTCCTAGAAACATCTTTAAGTGACTACCAAACTACCCTTTCTCAATTAAAAATTCATTAAACTGCTAAAACTCTTTCCATGCACTTTTTCTTGCAAATCAGATATTTGTATAAACAAACAAAAATAGGAAGAAAAAAAAAAAAGGAAAGGATATTTTCAATGGAACTTACTTTTAAGTGATGGCGACATGCACTTGGGGTGGGTGGGGGAAGTTCTCATTTGTGTTTTGAAATCCCAAATTAATGAGCATGATAAACTGTTATTGCTGGCACTGGCTGGACCCCAAGTGGCACTGTCTGACCCTCAACTCTGAGTCCTTGGTAGGTTCCCCCAATCCTCCCCTAGTCCCCACCCTTTCCCTTTCTATTGACTTGGGACAGCCCTTGTCAACATGCCAATCACAGTGGGAAGGGGGGAGGCAGAGGTCACAGTGCATGGGGTTCAAGGTCACAGTGGGCGGAGCAAGGGGGATCACAGTGCAAGTAAGTCAGGTCGTTCCCTCTGCTCAAGTCCAGATGTCTGCCACGGCAGTGCGACCCATGGCAGACAATCCAGGAGGCGACGGTGGCGGCAGCGGTGGCGGCAGCATCCTTTCTTGCCTGCATTTATCTGCGATGTTTGAAGCCTTGTGACCCATCAGGACCCAAAGGCTGTCTGATCACATTACTGGGCTGCCTGCTGTCTTCGGGTTGGGAGATCCTGGTTGGCCTAAAGGAAGATAAGAGGAAGGCCTTGAGGATATAAAAGATGCCCAAATAATAACATTTGCTGAGCGCAGGGACATGTGTGCACAGGTGTCTGTATGGCCAAAGATCGCCAGGTGTCGTCCTCTACTGCTCTCCACCTTATTCTTCAAGACAGGGTCTAACTGAACCTGGAACGCACCAGCTGACTAGGCCGGCTGGCCAATGAGCTCCAGGGATCCATTTAGCCCTTGTACAGCCTTGTGCCCACCCAGCGTGGGGTCACAGTCACTTGTAGCTTTGCTCAGCCTTTGTGTGGGCGCTGGGGATTCAAACTGGGCTCCTCTTGCTTGTGCTGCAGCACTAGTACCACCTAAGTCCCTTCCAGTTTCAAGTCCCAGAACCTTAAATCAACCTATGGCTGAGGTGGGGTGACCAGCCAACTGGAGGTGCTGAGCCTCCTTCTTTGGCAAGCAGACTAGGGACTTTTCCACTGTGGCAGCTCCTTGGGAAGGAGCTCATGGTCCACAGTCTATGTTAACTTCTAGCAGTCACTACGGCACTGCCCCCTTTCCTTTGCCTTGCCTGATCTATAAGTAGAGGGAGTATGTACACCCCATCCCAGGGCGGGAGGAGCCACCACGGGCACCACATCTTCCACAGACTGTTCCAGTGTTGGGCCCCTAGCTCTGCACTGAGGAGCCAGCTGGCACCCACCTGTCTGCCTCCTCCTCCTCCATCCCTCCAAACCACGAGGCTAGCTGCTGACTCCTAGTACTAGAGAAAACAGAAGGGAATGGACTCGCCCACTCCAGACAGGTGCAGACTAAGAGGAGAAAACAGAAAGGATGTTCTTCAAACCAGACTGCACTGGACATGGTGGCACATGCCTCTAACAGCACTGGAGAGGCAGGACGACCACCCTGAGAGCAAGGCTGGCTGGGCTACACTGAATTCTATGCCAGCATGTGTGAGAACCTGGTTTCAAAAGCCAAAAGGCAAACCGAACCACCACCGAGAAGGTACAGACTTCCTTGTTCTCAACAGTCCAAGCCCAGAAGAACAGGCCAAAGACGGCCTCAGGGTGGAGGCCTGGGGTCAGTCGTGGAGACAGGCTGCCTGCCAACAGTGCAGTCCCCAACACTGGGGAGAAAAGAAGAAACAAGAGTGTGGTGTGGTGTGGCTATAACCCTACCGCTGGGGAGGCTGAGGCAAGAGGACTGCCAGGCCAGCCTAGGCTACAGGATGAAACTACCTCAAAAGACAAAAATCATGGGCTGGACATGTATTTTAGCAGAGTACTTGCCTAGCATATATGGAGCCCGAGGTTTGATTCCAGGTCTATATATAAAAACCTGGTGATGTGGCACACGCCTGGCATCCCAGCGGTCAGGAGGTAGAGATAGAAGGATCAGCATTCAAGGTTATCCTTTATACAGTAGTGAGTTTGAGGCTAGCCTGAACTACATGAGACCCTGTCTCAAAAACAGGCTTTCGTGTGTTCATGTATGCATGTATGTGACATCTGGTATTTTCCTCAATCTTCAACCATATTTTCTTTAAAAAAAAAAAAAAAACTTAAACTTATTGTATGTATGTACATGAGTGTCCATGTGCACCCCAAAATATGAGTATGGAGGTCAGAGGACAAACTGCCGGGGCTGGTTCCTCTCCACTGGGAGGGTTCCAGAGACTGGACGCAGGCAGTCAGGTTTGGGTGCTGGGGATCCAAACTCAGGTCCTCCATGCTTGTGCTCTGCTGACTGAGCTGTCTCCAGCCTCCCAAGGCAGTGTTTTTGTTTTGTTTTTTCGAGACAGAGTTTCTCTGTGTAGCTTTGGCTGTCTTTAGACCAGGTTGGCCTGAAACTCACTCAAGTTTTGCCTCTGCCTCCCCAGTGCTGGGATTAAAGGTGTGTGCCACCACCACCCTGCTCCAAAGGCAGTTTTGACAAATGCTATGTTATCAGAAAGTAACACACATAATACAAATCTAAAATTAAAAAAAAAAAAAAAAGACAAGTGAAAACACTAAAATTTCAGGAAACACTCACATGGGGCTGCTAGAGACCAAGCAACAACACTGGGCTTCTCTGGGCTTCTGGGCAGAACTCAGCACCTTATGGCCATTTGCTCACTGTTAAGTACGCTCCCAATGGCCAGCTGGCAAGGCAGGGATGGCCATCACCCCACTTCTCAGATCAGACGTCAGGTTCAGTAGCTGTAACGTATGTGGCTGACAACCTGACTCAAAGCCCATCCTTCTCATCTCTGTGCAGCCTGCTTCCTGGCGCCTGTACATTGTGGAGGGGCCATCAGCCAACCACACTTAACACCCCATAGCCCCCTAGGTTGGAGAGAGCTTTGCTAGTACAGTGCTTGCCTCTCAAGCTGAGGACCTTGGTTCGATTCCCGGAACCCACATAAAGGCCCCCTGCAGGCTGGTGTGGGGCACATTCTACCCGTTCCTCTCATTACCCTGCTACCGCTGGCAAGCACACTCACCTGTCAAGGATGGGTTTCTCCTGCTCCTCCTCAGGGCTGGCACTGCCCAGGATCCGTCTCCGGGCCTCTGCGTACTCTGCCTCCCGCTGTGCTAGGGACTTGACAGGAAGGGCTGGCCTGCTGGTGGAGTTGGGGCTGCTGACCACACCGTTGCTGGTGGGCCTCTTGAGGATGCGGATCTGTGGAGGGGGCCCCGTGGGAAGGCTATCGTCTTGAATCACAATGGGCACTTTGGGAGGAGATTTGGATTTCCTGCTGACAAAGAGCAAATATAGCTTCACAAATCCCACAATGACTAGAAGGCCCATCCAAGTCCCACATGCTCCTCCTCATCACTGTCTTCTCCCTTCCACTAACTATTCCCCTGGCCCACAACCAGACAATTGCACTCCCACTCCTCTGCAGGACATCAGCCTTGCACCAGCTCTGTGGGGCACAGAATCTGCTCCACAGCTCTAACTCTGCAGGGGCCAGCTCACCACCTTGTGTCCTGGGACTTCCTCTCCATGTGTATAACAGGCCCAGCAAGCACCATTTGGCCCTTGAGGCCAAAACATTCCACACCCAAAATTCAACGACTTTGAAGAAAACCCCAGCTTCCCTACACAGACCAGAGTATGAGAGGCTGGTAAGCTGGGAGCCCCTCTGTCCAGGTCTCCCACAGCATGTTCTCAAAAGAAGACAATACACAGGCACCTGCTACGCCACCCTATCTGGCAATAAGCAAGACAGGATTTACCAAACTCTCTCTGCCTTCTGGCCAGTGACCTGTGCCTCTCAGAGACAGGCTGCACCAGACAAGCAAGTCACCTCCATACCAGAGCCTTTGAGCAGAGAATCTCCCTTACCAGGGGCTCTCTGCTCTGTCCGGCAGCGGCGGCGGGGCTGGGGCGAAGGCCGATCATAGAAACAGTGCTTGGCAATGCTCGAAAGAGAAGCATTGTCCAAGGTTAGTCAATGTGCACATCCATGCCAGGTGGCCACAAGCAGAAGTGAAATTCCCCAAACACAAAGAGGCCAACAACATGGAGAGGGAGGAAACAGAAGCCACAGGTAAGAACAGGAGCAAGGCAGGATGAACATCCACACCAGCCACCAGGGCCACCCCAGACCTGTCAACCAGCTCTTGCTCACAACCACTGAGACCTTTCCAGAGCCTGGGTTGTCAGGAACGGTGGAAGCTACGTGCTCTGAGTCGGGTAGAAGGGTCCTGGGGAGGTGGGAGTAGCATGGGACAGGGCCTGTGACCATAGTGGGTAGCTCCTGGGAAGAGTAAAGGAGCCAGCAGTCTGGTCACAACAGCAGGGAGTCTGGAAAGCCAGTGTGGGCCAGGGGTCTCCCAGAATACCCTGGGGGAGTAAATGTAGCTGGTTCTGTTGCTTGTCCCTGGGTTACCTAAGCCCAAAGTCACCCACTCTGAAACCCACTTCCCATGCCGCATGGATGTGACAAAGCAATTCTTTAAGGTCTCTCAAGAATTCCCTAGAATCTTTCCTTCCAAAATACTCTCATAATACCCTAAACTGCAAGTCACCTAAACCAAGGTCACTGAGAAATCATCTGTCCAAACTCTTCATTACAAAAGACACCATGTCTAGAAGAGAAACAACTCACTCTACACCTCAGAGCCACTGGGGCACAGTCACACCTAAACCCAAACCTTGCAATTTGTCACCTTCCCTCTCTCAATGAGATGACCTCACATAGGGCCCACCTAGCCTCATCCCAAAGCCTCAATCCAGTGTCCTGGCCTCCTACTGGGAGGGAAGAGCTAGCTGCCCAGGAGCCTAACCTTCTGCCGCTACCAGCCAGCTGGAGAACACTGCCTGCCCAGCTCTCCAGCGCAGAGAGCATGAGTCCTCAAGCCAGACATCAGCCTTACCTCTCCTTTTGTGTGATCTTCAGTTTTTTTTCCAACCGTCTGTCTATTTCCTAGAGGAAAAAAATGTATATAAAAGTGGAAAAAAATCTCTCTCAAATAAAACCTTAAGTTTCTATTTTTCCAAGCTAAGGGCAGCATCCTCTCTCTAGCCAGGGACATGGCTGTGTCCTCCAACTAGACCTGAGGTTTGGGGACCTAGTTCCCTCTGCAGGTCCATCTCCCCTTAGCCCCATGACCACAATATGGGGACCTGACCATTAGGCTGGGTTCTTTGCATAGCCTCCAGCCTGTCTCCTGTCCTGTCCTTCAGTCACTCCAACTTTCTCAACACACGTCTAACCGAGTCATGTCCCCCACTCAATTGCTAGAAGGACCACATCTGAGCTCTGTTCTCCCACACTTCTATTCTACTGTTCCTGTTCTGCACTAGAACAGGACTGAACTATCAGTGCCCAGAACCCAGTGAGCGGCCCCATTTAGCCTGCACAACCCAGGCGCCTCCTCTCCCCTGCAGTCTTCTCTGATCCCAGCAGTGCACTGAGCACCTGCTCCTGGGGTTGACTCTCCCTTTTACAGCCCCTCACAGCCACACGTGTCAACTAGCTCATAATCTAGTTTGTACTGACACCAGCTTTCTGTGGCCAGTATTAGGGAAAGGCGGTAAGAGAAGCCTGCTGTTTGTCTACAAAGTGAACTCAGGGAATCTAAGTGTGAATCAGAGGGAAGATTTCTCTGATTACCACAAAGCCAGCACTGTAGAAAAGGATAAGAAAGAGGCTGAGGGTAAGCAGGTGAGACCATCATCCCACACATTCAGTACCTCAGCCTGGGGGAGCCTTCTGTACCTAGCACCAGGGATTCCAGATACCTGCAGGTAAAGTGGGGGCAGGCACAGGGCTGAGGCTCAACCTCCAGGCTCTGTGTGTCCCACTCTCTGAGGACCAGCTACTGGAGGAAAGGGACTATGTACTCAGCAAGTGATTCTCTGCAGAGGACTCTCAGCCACAGGTGATTTTGCCCGAGGGGCATCTGGCAAGGTCAAGATATTTTTGTTTTGTGACTATGGTAGGGGATGAGGTAGGGGCTGCTACTGCCAAGTGTCCTGCAATACAGGGCAGCCTCCACAGTAAGGAACAGCTCCCAAAGTCAAAGTCAGTGCCCAGGCTGGAGACCCTGTTTCTAAGACCCAAGAGAGACAGTGTCTTGGCCCACACCCACAATCCCAGCACTAAGGGAGTGAAGGCTGGGTATCAGATAAGGAGTTCAAAGGCCACATTCCAAACCACAGCCACAATTTCTCTGCTCACCAGCCAGTGTGCAAATGTCCTGAGAATGGCTGCGCTCTAGAAGTGAGGAGGCAGTTTTAGCTGGCCAGATCCATCCGAATAATCTAAGGTTTCACAGATTTACCTAACTATTGTCTATGGAGAGAATCACTGTTAGCAAACCAAACAACTGATAGGCTTAAAGTGATCTTGGTGTTCAATCCACTGGTTGAGTCATGCAATCACGCCAAGTTTCTTTAATGGTGTTTTCTAGAAAGTTCCTTTCCATCTTTCCTAATTTGTATCTTTTACAAACAATACAAACTTCTACTATCAGAAGCTAGATTTAAGTAGAATCACTGCCATTCATTTTAGGCAACACAATGTACTGTGCTTGGGAGGCACCATCAAGTCTCTGGGCCACCTGGAAAGGCTAGAAGACCTTCCGCCCCAGCTGGAATACAGCTGTGCCCCATCAGAGTCAATGCACAGAAAACATGCAGCCACGGTGACCAGAATGCTTCCGACAGACACACATTCTATATCAAGCACAGCTCATGGCAAATCAGTACTAACTCTAGGAATTTACGTGAATGCAGTGTCATTTCAAGGGTAAATGCGATGTCTTACACAGCAGCCTCTTTATTGTGAGTGTGCAGATGTGTCTGAGTGTATATGTGGGCCTGTGTGACACCCCTGGAGTCCAGAAAGGCAGATGTGTCTGAGTGTATATGTGGGTCTGTGTGGCACCCTTGGAGTCCAGAAGGGCAGATGTGTCTGAGTGTATGTGTGGGCCTGTGTGACACCCCTGGAGTCCAGAAAGGCAGATGTGTCTGAGTGTATGTGTGGGCCTGTGTGGCACCCCTGGAGTCCAGAAAGGCAGATGTGTCTGAGTGTATATGTGGGCCTGTGTGGTACCCCTGGAGTCCAGAAGGCATCGGAACTCTTGCAGTTAAAGTTACAGATGTTTGTGAGCTGCCTAATCCAGGTGCTGGGATTTGAACTCTGAGTCGTCTCTCCAGTCCCAAGCCTTCTATTAAGCTCCCCATTGCTGACTCCAGCTTCCCCATCTTAACACATTTTTAACATCTGTGAGATTTAAACACTTTCAAGTAAGATTTAGACCCAGCACCTGCCCCAACCAAGCTTTATATATGCAGGGACATACCTGGGGCAGCAAAGGGGTGGCATGCCTAAAGATCATTGGCCCCAGCTAAAGATAGGGACAGGCCACTGCCAAGGTTTGACAAGACTGGATGTGCTATTTTCAAAATCTTCCAATTCATGATTTTTACAGGGGAAAAAATTCATTGCGTGGATTCTCACGTTCCTCTCCCTGCAAGGGTCAAAGGACACTGACAGAGGCAAGCTGCCTTGACCCACTGGTGAAATCTGAGCTTCCTTCTCTAGAACTACAGGAAAAACCATCTGCCCAGTACCTGCACATGGAGCAGGGTGGATAGAGAAGCCTTCAGGAGGACATGAGGAACCACCTGAGTAAACATGCCTCTGTCCCCAGCCAGTCATGACCAGCAAATGTGGCAATCTTAATGTGTCTACACTGTGGTGAGCCACTGGGAAAGCCTTCAGATATGATCCTGTCATCTCCCCAAGTCACATCACTGGCACTGCTAAAACTGCAACTCCCATGCCAGCCATCCTGCTGGGCAGGGCGGCTCTACAAAAGCTGAGGAGGGTCTCCCGTCAGGTCACAGAGTGGTGGAGTGGAGCTGACAGTCTGCAGAGCACTTAGGACAGCAAAGTGGAAGGGAGACCAGTCTGCCAGCAGCTGGAGATGGCCTTGAACCAGGTATCAAGTCAGTCCACTGGCTCTGGGCACAGCTTTCCAATCCATTTGCTCCCAGGCTCATTCTGAGAAACTCAGCCCAGTTACAACTCTCCCACAGGGCAGACTCCAAGAACAACAGGAGTCTCCTCCAGGGACCCACAGGCCTACATTGCTGTGTCACAGGGAAGTATCAGCTTGGAGATTCCGGTCTCAAATAGGATCAAATTACCTTGTTTTTTTGTTTTTGTTTTTTTTTTTTTACAAAGATGCCCAGAGCCTTGATGGTGTTATCAAACTCCATGGCTAGGACAAAAAACATTGAAGCCCTGACATTGTTATGAGTAGACATGGGCAAAGGGGGATATAAATACTCCATGGGCAGCTGAGGATTGTCTGAGTGCACTGTGCCTCTCCTAGACTAAACTTTGGTGACAGAAGATGACATTGTGTTCTGGTAAGTGCAACGGATTCCTTTCTCTGGGTCCAACTCCATGTAAAAGATAAGCTTCCAAACCTATCACATGCTCCACTGGGCTATACTATATGAACACTGGGCATGGCCAATGATACCAGTGCTTGGAGGCTGAGGCAGGATGGAACTCTGGCTCTTCCTAGGGGTCCCAATTTCACTTACAGATTAAGCAAAAGACTTCACAGAGCAGCCTGATCTCAAAAGACAATGAAAATGACAAACCACAGGCTTTTTGTTGAAGAAAAACAAAGCCAGAAAAAGAGAAACCATGGAATGAAGGATGGTGTTTGGACAGGATGGTCCTTTGGGAGGTAAAGGAGCGTCTACAGCCCCAGGTAAGTGAAAGCAGACACCAGCAGCTCCAAGTTAACTCACCTGAAAGGAAGCTTAGCTTCACTGGCTGCTAATGCCCTTACCCTCACAGTGTTGTTGTAGAGCCCCTGGCTGGAGTATGACGGAGAAAAGATCATTCCAGAGGAGGGGGAAGCAAGGAAGGGCCTCAAATAGCCTATTTTATTATTAAAATCATTTTTTTTACATGTTTTGCCTGCATGTATCTATGTGTAGTACGTGCAGAAGCCAGAAGAGGGGCTGGAGAGACAATGATTCTGCTGTTAGGAGCACTGGCTGCTCTTCCTGAGGGCCCAAGTTCAATTAATTCCCAGCACCCACATGACAGGTCCCAACTGTCTATAACTCCAGTCCCAGGGAATCTGACACTCTCTTCTGGTCTCCACAGGCACTAGGTGTGCACACAGTACACACACAAAGACATAGACAAGACACCTGTACACATAAAAAATAATACACTTGGCAGGGTGGTGCACACTTTTAGTTCCGGGACAGCCAAGGCTATCTATATAGTGAGACTTTGTTTCAATAAATAACAGAGGCTTCAAGCTAAACATTTACTGGGTGAATGTTCTTGTCATGGTGCATGTCTGAACGGCAGAGGCTGTCTTTCTAGAGCTGGCTCTCTCCTTCTAATGTGGGTCCGGCACAGCAGCAGGAGCCATTACTCACTGAATCGTCTCCCCAGTCCCAGCCCACTTCAGGAAACTGTCATAACCCGTGTGGGAACAAGGGAGACAAAAGGATAGGGATATGTGTGAAAGGCAAAGACAGTTACACCCGAAGGTTTGCTCCTGTGACAGTCACAGGTGGCCAGAGCCAGGTATGGTGGCTTATGCCTGCAATTCTAGCACTTGAGAGGCTGATGCCGGAAGTTCACCCTAAGTCAGAAGTCAGTCTAGCCCACATAGTGAGTTCCAGGTCAACCTGGGCTACAGAGTGAGACCCTAAATCAGAAAATAAAAAATAAAACAAAAACAGTGAGCTGTAGAGATGGCTTCCTGGGTAAAATGAGGGTCTGAGTTCCAATTCCTAGCACCCAAGTAAAAGCTGGGCATGGCAATACAAGCCTATAACCCAGTCCTGGGGGAGGAGATGGCCAGGTCCTAAGGGCTTGATGGTGATTAGTCAGCTAGCCTAGCTAAAATGGTGAGCTCCAGATTCAGTGAGGGA